AATTGTCATGTGATAAATGCAACACAACACAATAGTCATGTGATAAATACAACACAACACAATGGTCATGTGATAAATACAACACAACACAGTAGGCATGCGATAAATACAACACAAAAGAGAAGTCATGTGACAAACAAAGCATAGAACGCATGTGATAAATATAACATAGCACAGTGGTTATCGGATATGTAACATAAAAAACACGGTAGTCACAAAAGACATATAACATCATTTTGTACTTAAAATCAAATTGATTCTTATTACACATCATCTTGCAAACGAAAACTAGCATTTGTTATAAAACATAAACAATAACGCTTTTAATTTAAATCTATTAGACAGCTAATAGTTGAAATCACAAATTAAAAGTCGAAGGAACTAGGATGAGAAAAGAGTCAATAAAACTGAACCGGCTTTCTACGTTCTTTGTGGTATACTGCAGTTAATTGCACACTTAGAGAAGAGTCACCATAAAACGTTTGTCGAGAGGTCAAACAATATAAAAACAAGTGCTTCCCATTATCGTCCGTATCTAGTTTCTCTTGTTTGGAGGAGGGTCGACGTTTTTGTGTGCAATGCAGGTAGCTGGTCAATTAAACGTAATAGGACGTTTTGTTACGTTACGTATAGCAAGTCTCCTAATCCTTGTTTATTGTCAATCGTATAAACTGCATAGACAGCTTTCAGAATGTCACAATGATCAGTTGGATTATAAAATAATTTTGTTCTAGGACGAGATGATGTTGTTGATATCTGAAATAATATGTATCATATACAATATACTTCCATAAAAATGCAGTTTTAGTAAGGGAAATGGGTGTTTAGGGTTGTGTATCATATGTGTGGTAAGCTTGTAATATGTCTAAGTGTTGTGTTCCCGGAAAAGACGACTTCAGATTTACAAATTGTCCAATTTGAACGTAAGAAGCACTTACTTAATAAATAGACGTAATAATTTGATCATGTTCATTCAAACAACGGAAAGCGACCCCTCTTTGTCTCAGACATTTTACGCACCCATTGAAGAAAACGATTTGTAAACATGAATGGATTTTATTGAAGTATTGTCGCTGAGTTTCATAGGGAAAACCTTACACTAATTTTTTTAAATCACATGTTTAGAATATTTATATATGTATACATGTATGTATATACTAGAAACGCAACCTTCGTACGTGTGCTGTGCTTATATGAAATTATATGAATACACAACATAACAATTTAATATTTAACATTGTTTACATTTCCGTTTTTAAACTCCTATTTTTCTCCTTTAGTTTAAATTTCGTGAAAGGTTTATGAAAACAATTGTAATTATTTGATAAACATTTCCCCCAAAATCGTGACAAATCAGTCTGATGTTTTAAGTCAATTTCATAAATTAGATATTACTGGAATCTGAGATCTTCTGGATATTACATTTATGTACAAACAAGGAATATGGAAAGCAAGAGTATATAGTTGTAGGATATGTACTTCTGTATTATATAAATTAGGTGTCTCTCACGTTATATTTAAAGGTAATGTATCACATGCATTGGTTAAAGAGGATCAATTACTAGAATCATTTAACGTAGATGTAACATGAATATTGATTAAAGTAGAAATCTAATACACGTATTATTTGAAGAAACAATATATCACGAATTATTCGTAGTAATAAGTATCACACTATTATTTCAAAAGCCGTATATCACGAATTATTCGTTGTACTAAATATCACACTATTATTTCAAAAGCTGTATATCACGAATTATTCGTTGTACTAAATATATCACACTATTATTTCAAAAGCTGTATATCACGAATTATTCGTTGTAATAAATATCACACTATTATTTCAAAAGCTGTATATCACGAATTATTCGTTGTAATAATTATCACACTATTATTTCAAAAGCTGTATATTACGATTTATTCATGGTATTACTAACTCTCGTATTATTTCAAGAAGCGATAGTACGAATTATGTATTGTTTAAATATCACATGTATTATTATAAGAACATATAGTTGCTAATATATTGAAGCATGTCACTGAACATGTAACGCAATACTTTGCAGCAAAACCAAGGGGAAATAAATTTTGCAACGTTTTTTGTGTTTTATTGTACAATTTCTGTCAGTGAACTAATATATCTGAATAATAGATTGCGGACAGCTACAGAACGAGGGTATTGTCACATTACAGACGAATGTTATTTTCCTGTTCTTGTGTGGGCCAGATGGACTGTATCTGTCGTGGCAGGCTGCATGTTACACTTACACAAACTGATGTATTTCTTAAATAATTCTTAATGTTATATACATTATATCACTGATATAACGGATTGGGGCTAAAAATATAGATAAGGAGTGAGGTCAGCTTTGGGAACTGGCTGACAGTCTCAATGGCGGAGATTTATAGTATGTATGATGCGCCTGTTTTACCTATGTTTTTGTAAAGCACATTGATTTACATATATATATACATGTATACCTAAAGTAAATTTTGCTGATTCCGAACAATTCCTGAATACACTCTCAATTATACAATTACAATGAAAAAGAAAGCTTAAAATAACAATCTAAACGCACGACATGAATAAGAGAATGTTCGCATATTGAAGAACTAATTTGAATTGTTAAATGTAGATAAATTGTTTGAATAGGAACATGGTTGTTTTGTCTCCTCAGTAGTTGTCTTTCCTTTTTTGGTACCTCCTAAGTGTTCCTGTTTTGTCTTTCCTTTTTTGGTATCAGTATCAGTTTTGTTGTTGTCTTTCTTTGTGTTTTGGTGTCTTCTCGGTTCCTGTTGGTGTCTTTCCTTTTGTTTTGGTGTCTCTTCGGTTCCTGTTGTTGTCTCTACTTTTTGGTTTCTCCTCAGTTCCTTTTGTTGCTTTTCCTTGTTGGTGTCTCCTCGGTTCCTGTTGTTGTCTTTCTTTGTGTTTTGGTTTCTCCTCAGTTCATATTATTGTCTTTCCTTTTTTAGTGTCTCCCCAGTTCCTGTTGTTGTCTTTCCCTTTTTAGTGTCTCCTCAGTTCCTGTTGCTTTTTGGTGTCTCCACAGTTCATACTGTTTTCTACCATCCTTCACAGGCGTGTCTTCCGTTTTAGCCGGGAAAGATCAGCTTGGTACCCCCTAGGGGAAGATAGCCTCGTGTTCAATTGTGACGTCATTAAAATGCGTCACCGGTTATTGTGACGTCATCAAAAGTGAATGACAATTTGCATACTCCCATGTGTTGTTCTTAGTAGATTATTGTTGGTGGAGTTGTGATTATTGTTGGTGGAGTTATGAAATAATAGGATGGGAGAAAAATAACCATCCCCTACCTTGAGGGTGTAACAGAGAAATATCCAACCCTCGAGGTGATTGTTGTTGGTTGTCTACCTCTCGGCAGAGCCTCGGGTTAGACAACCAAAAACTCGGGTAGGAGATTTCTCTGTCACACCCTTAAGGTTGAGGAAGCTTATATTAGTCTTTCCTTTTTTTTGGTGTCTCCTGAGTTCATATTATTTTTCTTTCTTTTTGTTTTTTTTGTATCTTATTTTTGTATTTCCTTTTGTTTTTGGTGTTCCCATTGTTCCTGTTGTCTTTCCTTTTGTTTTTGGAGTTTCCTCTGTTCCTATTATTGTCTTTCGTGTTGTTTTGGTGTGTCGTCAGTTACTGTTCTTGTATTGCGTTTTGTTTGGGTGTGTCGTATTGAAGCTGTTATGTGCTAGGTGTATCGACATTTTTGTCGATAATCAGAAGCTATTAGAATTTAATCAACATGCTTAAGCCATTATGGAGAAAAAAAAAGGTTTCAAAAAATTCAAATTTCATGTTCCAAGTTTCATAATAGATCATAATAGATATGAAACGTTTGACATGTGCAGTATTGTTGTTTTTGTGGTGTTTGGTTTCTTTTGTTTGTGAGAGGTGGGGATATGTATGGGGTTTCTAGAAACTGGTCAAGGTTTGAATGTCATTAGGGTATTCCTAAATTGAAGAGAGCCTGCACCGAATATTTGTTAGTTTTAACTTATAGGGTATCGTAACAGGGGGGACGAAACGTACTATTAGAGCTCAATTATATTTTTGAGAAACTGGGTGGCAATCTCTTGCACAGAGACGTCAAATTCACAACATTATTCGATTCCTTAAAATAGTGTATGGTTTACAAAATGTCCGTTCCACGGAAATATTCACTGAGCCATTAAAGTGTGAATTCCTGAATATTTGAATATTGGTAGTGATATCAGTGCTCGATACAGATCAGTTTTGAGGTTATTTCTCTATCATATATCAGGTTACTCTTTTATTATTATTTGATGTTTTTGCTCTACTGTTGAACAAAGTATTACGTGTGTCTAACATTATCAATAATTTGTGGATTTTTTTCCTTGCGGTTATTTGTACTCAAACGTCCACCCCTTGGAGGATTTTACTATTATCCACATATTTTAAATATATATATCACATATATTACCTATTCATACATAGACATTTTATATCTGTCATTCCGCCAAATATAAAATTCCTTAAGTTGTAGGAAGTAATTAAATCAAGAAAGTTTCTTACTTCGTAATTAAATCGCTAATATGATGGCGCATTCTGGCTTAAACAATCATCATAGTATATTGTATTCAAGAGAATACGGAAACAGAAAGAAAGCCGTTAGTCGAACTCCAAATCAATTTAACTAATGCAAAATCTGAAATAAGGAAAGATTTCTATGGAGACCCTGGAAATATACAGGAAGTATAGGATCAGATGCTCCGAAAGAACGATCGTACCAAATCCATTAATTCCTACATCCGGGTATTATCAATCACTAAATACCGTTAACATTATACATATCTAATGCAAGATTCCATTTAAATAATGGATCAACTAATAGTAACAATCATCATAAACATATAAATAAGAAACACAAAATATATATTTCCATGAGTTTTATTTTCATGATTTAATTTACATATTCATGATTTAATTTACATATTCATGAATGTATATATATCAAAACATATGCATTGTTTTTTGAAATAATGTCAAATGAAAAATAACTCATGTATACAATATATCCACGCATCATGACTATGTATGATGTATAATACTGGAGTTTGCAAGTACGGCTAATTGTAACATAGATTATCAAAGATATACATAGAAAAATGATCCAATTAGGCAAGTTTCTGAAAAAGGCAAGATGCTTTTGGCAAACGAGATTTAATCTGTAAAATGTATCTAAATACCGTTACCTATCATTATAAACATTTTTTCAATAGTTGAGAAATTTTGGTATCAATTTCGAAATTCAGTTTGACAGGAAATTATGTTTTTGGTAGAAATATAGCTTCCAAATCGATTAGTTATCATAAGAATATATCAATTTATTTTATATTCATATTAGATGAAAAATTATAATTTACCAGCAGTTTCAATACTGTGGGGAAAAAACACATAACAGAAAGTGTCAGTGTATTCCTTTGCAACAGCACCTGAACATGTTAAAATATTAAGTCAGAAAAATATACAAAACAAAACTATAACACATTTCACACTGTGATAATTCTATGGCACTAATTCACAATTATAAAAATAAATATCTTACACTCTTTCATTCTCTGACATTTATATAACAATCTTTTTCACTTTACCCATAAATAAGTACGAACCAAACTTCGTTGTTAGTGTATAAGGCCTATGCTTATGAGTTACAGAACTCCGTCAAAAAACGTCTTTACCCAAATGGCATGTGGGTAAGGTCAATTAACAATGACGAATCTCCAGACAAAAATCGCACAATAATGGCAAATCTCAATTCTCCAACGACAATATATTAATAACATATCTAAGGATCAATAAGTCGTGCTTAATGTATGGTGTAGACACTTCAGTTTTAATAAAGAAAGGGATTGATTTCTCAGAAAATAAGAACAAAGGAAGATAATTTGTAATAATTGAGATCAACTCAAATTCGAACAATTATCACCGTTGACAAAACAAGTCTCTACTCTAAATTAGACATGGATTTTCATTGTTTTTTGGCAATTCGTATTACTGCTTAGTCCTCAATGGAGGACACGGATATATGGCGAAGTAAATAGGTACTTTGTTTCGATGCCTATATCGACTTAAGTTTTCAATCTTAAAGAGTCAATTTATCACTTCGTTTTTAAGTTGGACTAAGAAGCTATGTTATTATGTTAGTCGAATCGTAGTCTATTTTTCAAAATCAAAAAAGTATATTACAGATGTGTTTTGTTGTCTTTGAAAAAACCCAGTGCAAGCAATGTTGCATGATTAAGGCAATGTTATGTAGGTACTGTATTTCAAACCTTTTCTTAGGAGTATATCGAAATACAATGAATAACTGTGAATGCATTTCTCAAGCTATGATATAAACTTACGAAACGTTTACAGTATTTACGATATTGATAAACAGTCAAATTTGCTGAAAGGAAAATCCAATGATTTGTTGTTCCAGTATATTCAAATTTACCATTAAAAAAAGAGAATATGACACTCAGTTTGAAGTATCCATAACACTAACTTTGAAAGACTTTCTCCTCCAAATGTTTATTACAAATGTGCGATTATGATTGTGTCTGATAAATACGTTCTGCATTGTAATAAATTATTCAATACATTATGACATAGTGAAATTCATTGACTGAAAGTGGTAATCAATATGATATGTTTCTTAAAGATTGGATACGAAACAATTATATGATTTGTCTTATTTTTCATAAATTGTATAATGTAATATTATCATTTTCATCGAGATATATATATATATATATATAAGGATCACAGGGTTCATACCATATGAAAACAATTTATATATTTACACAAAAGTTAATGCAAATCTATCTACAAAACATTTCACTACTAAACCTTCCAAACTCACACTTGGTTACAAGTATAATTTCACGTTCTCAAAAGTCTGCCCTTCCACATTAACAAATTAAACTTTCTCATTACTGGTCCTAACCAACCAACTAAAATGTCTACCTTGACATTTGAACATTTTAAGGAAGGGAAAACAACATAACAGAATAACCGTTGACATTTACTGTACTTCATGAAACATATAGAGTTGAACACAAACTATAATGAGTCGTAGTTTCGTATTTCCTGAGGTAGAGCTGTGGTAAATACTGTCGTCCACATTTTCGTATGGAAGGTTTGATGAGCAAGATATATTACCACTTGGTTTTATGTTTTCATGATAATTCGGTTCTCTTAAACCCCGACGTGATTTATTTGAGTATGTTAAGAACTATTCATTGAGTATGGATCCCAAGCAAAAAGTGTCGTACTAAAGTTTTGAGATATTTAGGTGATGACTCGGTAGTAAAGAATCACGCATTTGACAATGTTAAATCTACCTCCAAAATAAAACTCGTGAGTCAATTCTCACGGGCACGCGTTCTTTCCCGTCATTCTTTGGAACATATTTTGCCATTGTCCATTACATCTCAATCCACTTCACGCATTTTGTACAAAAGACATTCAACAATATATGGCTTTAAGATCAATTAGCACCGACTGCAACAGTACTTAAACTGGAATTGTCTGAGTGAGGAATGCCACCGACGGACACGTGACCACCGTGTCCATGGAGATCGGACTCCATCTTGACCGGAACTGCCTTGGGTGGTGACGGTGAGGAATAGTGATTAACAGCGGCTAAGTTAACAGGACTAGATAGAGACGAATGTTCTGAACCAACAGCTGTGAGTGGTGTCACACCGGAAGTAGGTCCAAGGAGGGCGGTGACGTTTGTTCCGTTCAATGAGGGTGTTCCGTGTCCGCTTCCGGTCACATGTCCACCTTGACCAGAGGATAAATTATTGTTGTTTGGAGAGAGAGCAGGTTTGATATCTGTAATTGAAAAGAAAGAAAAATATTAATGATATTTAGGTAACAAACAATATTTTTTTAATAGCTGACAATTGAAATATTAGCTTGACATCATAAATTCATGGTTTTGTAAGCAAGAAATGATGTGAAAGACAATAAAGGCAATAATATCTTTCTTATTCAAACTTAATACAAAAGATGTCAGTTCAGTATTCAAATTGTTATGCTCTATTGTTTTCCCTACAGTTTTGTTTGATCGTTTTATAGGGAAAAATGTTCAGTACCTACATAACATTGCCTTAATCATGCAACATTGCTTGCACTGTTTTTTTCAAAGACAACAAAACACATCTGTAATATAATGAAAATGAATTTGAAAAATTTACTACGATTCGACTAGCATACTAACAGTCCTGCTCAGTCAGCTTAATGAACACTAATCTTTAAATATAATTCAACCAATACTGCCTAATCTCAAGCCCATAAATACTCACATGTCTACCTTTTACTGATAATGTCACATAGTTAAACGCTTTTCGAATAATTTTGAGCAATAAGCGCTGTATTTTTAAACTTTATTTCATTTTCCAGAACTACCAAAGGTTCAAAAACAAAATTAACACTTTATCTAAATCTGAATCCGTTTTACAAACAGACAACGACTTTTCACTTCGTGGGTAATAAGATCGAGAGAAAGAGAGATGAATAATGGAAGATGCAGTAAGATATATATATATGTAACAACACCATGCAAACCCGGTAAAAGTAACGATATTCTTTATGCTCTTAATTTGTTATTTGTCGACGCTTTATTGCATCATTGTAATGACTCTTAATTATGTACTGGTGAATAACGAATAGGTATAAACAATGGGTACGTATTAGCATCCTTAAGGTTATGTAGTGAACAATATCTCATGTAGACATAATGAAGAAACACGACTGTGTATAATTATAAGATAACTGTTTTAGCGGCGTGTCCTGACAGTGTTATCAACCAGCCTGTGTCTGAATTACAACATAATTTGATGTTATCGTGTCACTGCAGTTTAAATGTGATTATCATTTAGAGAAAAAAATGTTCTAATTTCAAATTTCTGGTGTTTTTGTATTAGATTTCAAATAGCTAATTTATATCCATCCTATTGAGCAAAAGAAATTAGGAATTACTTTTCAATAGGTTCACTCCCCGGGATCTCCTTATCATAGAAATGTTTATGTATTCAGAGGGGAGGTTTTAATTGGCCGCGCCAAGAATTCCAGATAAGTATATTTATCTCACAAGTCCCATATTGTTCCCGGCAGCTAACATTTGTTTTCAGACGATTTATAAAATTGTATTTAACCCTCTGGTAATGACCTCACTTACTCGTATCGTTTGAATGTGTCAAGATTTGATAGGTTTAATTCAACTATCACAGTAAATAGTTTTCATAATTATTACATTAAGATTTCGAGTCATTATAAATGTCCTATGAAAATGCCAAAAACGTTAGAAATAGGACAAAATGTGCTCCATTTGTATTTTCTCCTTCACGAAATGTATGCAATAATGCTGTTGAAGACCATATAATGCAAGAAGACAGGGAAGCAATATAGAAACAATGACTTATTCCAACCTGTTCCGTTACGCGATTTCATTTTACATATAAAAGGTAATTAGACAATAAACCATACACTTTGTTTTATGAAAGTTGTTATTCTTTATTTAAACAATTAACTGTTTTTTCAAGCTAACAACAAAATTCTCAAAGATTCTTCGGAAACACTACATATGTAAACTAGTAAGCAGTAATATATTTATTCACATAAAAATGGAATAGTGTTAAAAAGGACAATCTTTTCTTCTTTTAAACCTTTTAAACAAAAACGTTAATTCATTTGATATAAAATTGTGTTCAATAACCGCTGTTTCTTTTCTAAACGGGTTCTATAAAAACTGTTTGGTAATAACGTTATAAATGTGTTGGAATACCATAAACTCTAAGGTTTAATTAATATTGTATACTTTTTTGCAGTTTTAATTTATGTTTAAGCAAGCATCAACTGTTACCGTTACATTTTTATCTGAATAAACTGTTAGCATCATAATTTGTGATAGAATGACAAAAACACTGAACAGCATAATTTTTACCGGAAAAAATTCAACTTTTAATGTTATAATGTGTGTCTGAATAATATCAATATATGTATCTGTAAAACTTTGCGTGGGAATGAAATTATTTGTTGACGTTCTATTTTGCGTTGGAATTAACTAATTTATTTACGATATTTTTTGAAAGAATAAAATAATCTATTAACGTTATGTTTTGGGTTGGAATAAATTATTTTCTTTTCGTTATATTTTTAGGTTGGAATAAAATATTTTCTTTACGTTATATTTTGTGTTGGAATGAAATTATTTCTAAGCACTATCTTTTGTGTGAAATAATTAAAGTTCTCAGCGTTATACTTTTGAATATTGCAATTTCTTTACGTTACAATGTCTGTGAGTAGAAAAAGAAATCTTTGAATCACTTATTGCTAAAATTACCATCATTTTCTTTCAACTGTTCAAGTCTACCATTTAGGTTTTGCAAGTTTCAAAGATAAATTTGTCTATCCTTTTTTTATAGTTATAAATCTTTTACCAACCATTTTAGCATTTTGATACTACAGTAATATCCCTACACAGAAGTCGCGTGATGCGTGGTCAGCTGGAGGTTTGACCTCTGTAACCAGACACTGTTTGATCAGCTGATAACAACAAATATAGTATATTAGCTACAAGCGCCCCCGAAGTACGACGCCGAAAGACAAAATGCAAAGGGTTTTAACGTGACACAGCAGGAGTGCAAACAAGACACGTCTTTAATTCTAACGTTTCCCGGCATGCTGTCGAAATCTAACGAGCCAATTTATGGTAGAGTATGATGTCGCGAAACCGGAAGCAGGTAATTTCAAAGTATGAATTTATGTTCGAAAGCATTTTCTGTCTTATCTTTCCTTATCATAATATTGTTCTTCTCGAAATCTAATCTATCTGATGGGAATCTCTGAGAGATACAGTGGGTGTTACCTGCAGCTGAACAAATGATAACCACTAGTTTCCACCAGATAACCCTACCACAAATTCTAGTAGAATGCTTCCCTGAATGAAAACAAGATCATTATCTTTCTGTAAATTAACTACTTACTATGCCAGAAGCAGATGTTAAAAAGGACAGAAATATTTTGAAAGACAAAATTGAAATACTTTTGAAAAATTGTCAAACGGATGAAACATTTGTATCTGTACTGTAATTTATCTAATGTGTCACTGTTATGGTACGACGTCGTGTAATTTGTATCCTGCTAATTGTTCATAGCAAAGTCCAATGACAAAGATGAAGGGGAATTAATTAGAAAAGACAGGGAATAACTTACCATTTTGTTCTGACTTTGGAGCAGATTTATTCTTAGCCAGACTCTTTGGTTTTCGTTTTCTCGTTTGAATGCCATCCTTTTTCATGGCCAATGGACGATTTACCTGTAAATAAGAAATAAATATTAAAACAACTGTATGTCATCATGTCCTTTCCTTTAACTAACGATTTTTACAGAATTCCGTATATTGTTTTTATCAAAATACGTCGTATGTCAATAGAAAAACAGTACTATTACGGCGATGACACATGTACATTCATAAGTGTTTTAATTGACCTAATTGTCTTATAAAATGTCTATAAGATGCGTTGATAATTAATTTTAATCTTGAAATAAATAATCACATATTAGAATTAAAATCAAAAAAGTTCAATAATTCAAAGTAAAATTCATATAAAGCAAATCTACTAACATGTCATAGAGAAACCAACTAACATGTCATAAAGTAATCTACCAATAAACCTTCAACAAATATATAACAATGGATCTTAAAGTAACTATATCAATGAGTCTTATACAAATCTCCAAAATAATTAAAAGTCTGTCATGACTCTAAACACAGATGTACAAGTAGGGTTAAAACAAAACTACCAATTAGTCTTTACCAAATCTGTTAGGACAAGTTTACATTTGTAGTCAGTTATTTTAGTCAGTTATTTCGTTATTAGGTGTAAAGTAACCACTCGAGAAAGTCTATACATACCCCGTGAAGTTTGTAGTAGAGTCCGCATGCGTTACATACGGGTTCTCCCTCGTTGTTACGACGCCATAACGTAGTTGTGGTCGTATGGCAGTTTGCGCATGACAATCCTACGCGACGGGAGGCGGACTACAAATAAAAACGACAGCGTTATTTGGCACGTTAAAAAAACAAACAAAACAAAACAGAAAATATGGGATCACATTGTATTTTGAGAAATTATATTATTATTGAGCTTTAATTTAAATGCTAACTGTTATTAGTTGAACGTTGTCTGTGTTACATTTAATCTCTATTCTAGCATTTATATTAGCGATATATATATCTATATATCAATTATTTATTAAATTGTACTGTTTTGTTTGTGTGTTTGAATATGTGAATGCGTTTGAGAGTACGTACATGTGTACGTACAAAGCGAGTCACACAAAGCAACGTAAGGTATGAAAAGATAGCTCGCTTTGCTTAAATGCCTCACTTTGTAATCAGCTGTTTGCCAAAACAATACACACATTCATGTAAGCTCGTATGTGAATGTGTTTTATGTATGTTTGCACCCTTTAAACCAGATCACTTATAAAACCGCGTAAACCCCCTCAACGTAACTACCTTGTGCATATTCAGTTTGACAATCGCCGATACAATCTGGAGGGGCTCTTTAATAGATAAGAATTTTTAATTTCATTTCAGTAATAAAATCACAACAATAATTACAGCTGACCGAAATGTATTCCTGTTCATTATATGTCATCAGCGGCGGCAGAGATAATCTTACAAAAACACAAATCCCAGTCACGTGATACGATTTATCTGAGATCTCTTTCGAATCCACTTCAGATTTATCATTTAATCAGAAGGACCACCTCCGAAACCTTCCGGTACTTGTTCGGGTAAATACTTCGATGTTATCGGCATTTATCGTTATGGAGTGACGTCGTTATATTAAGATATTTGTAAATGGTGTAAACTAAAAAAAATACCGACGCGAGTGTCGAGGATCCGGATTTTTACTCCAGCTGCTTGGAAAAATAATAGCCTACTCGGACAGATAAGATACATATAGTATTAACCAAGCTGGTGAGCGTCTAAAACACATCACACTCGGAAAAGCTGAGAGTTAGAGTAACACGAATTTCAAGACCTAATGCAATTTCGTCATAAATTTCCTTATCTGATCAGCTAAATTGCGATTCAATTTTCTTTTCCAGTGCTTCATGTGTATCAAGTGTAGATTTTAACTTTGTTTTTAAAATGCTTCAATTATCTCTGTATGTAACATGTAGTTTGTACGGTGTGTATGTAGTTGTATAAACTGTAAAATGTCGCTTATACCCTCGACCGATAACAATCAGTATTTAGTGCCACGATGGAAATCTCGAGATCAAATTGCAAATTTTGACATTAAGAAAATACAAGTTCTCACCGTCGTCATCAGAAAATGACGTTAAGTTTACGGAGATACAATTAACGATAAACACAAAAATTCAGCACGAACAATGAGTGTTTTCATAAAACGGAGAAACTTTCACATAATTTCGATGTTTTTATCATAATAATTAATCTTTAAATAAATGCCAACATACTTTATGTCTTGTGCTCATACGAGTTTTTACTTCATTTTTCAAGGGTGTAGGCGACACACGATACGTTTGGACATGCGCAGTTCAGTCAAAACCGGTCTTATGTCAATAGTCTGTGTACTGTAATAACTCCAGGCATGCGAAATATTGTGTAAAATTCATTTTTTCTCAGCCACCCTCGAGGCTGATGTACCTCCCGGTGTCGTTATTTACGTGTCTACGTTAGAGTTCATAAGTCTAAGTCACACGGTAACTCCATCTAAACTTAATATTTCACACAAAATTATACTCCAAATTACCGATATTCGTTTAAGCTTTAATTGAATTTCACGATTACTGCTGTTTGCCTACTTCAGTTGGCACGCTAATTGTCTTACAATCGAGTGCAACAACCATTTGCAGTTCTAACGACGTTCTGTTTAGAAATGTTTAACCTGTATAGGAACAGGAAAACCTGTCTAATCCGGTCATCATTTGAAGCAGTCAGATTTTAGAAAAATATTTACAGTATGAATCGGTTGTAAAATGATCATTTTTTTTGCTAAGGAACCAACTCAACTTTACGTTTACTCTATATACATACTATATACCAATTTATGAAAACAAAAATACCAGACTGGGTTATATTTAAAAGTTTAAGTTTTCAAATATCATGGTAGATTTAAAGAATTCAGCAAGGTAAAAAAATATCTGCGTTAAGATCATGTACACGCATGTGCGTCGTGTGTCTCTGTCAATCGCGATAACGATGTTTCATAAACACCGAACAGATTTAACATGTATTCACGTCTCAATCTCAGAAGTCGTTTAGGAAAGCTTTTTACTAATTAAGAAGCACAAGTCTTTTCTGTTCTATCGCCGAGAGCGCGAGGCTCTGAGGAAACACGAAGACTAAGCTTCCTGTTGAAACGGACAAACAAAAATACATATTCGACCACGAAACACGTTCATCAGCTCTTCATCTCTCATTACCCACCCGCCGTCTCCTCTGCGTGGGCTCCATTTGACCAATCAGAACCAAGATGACAGATGGATTAAGATCCATGATGACAGCGTTTGTGAGGTACCACACGGGGTAATTTGCTTATAGTTTCCTTTTTTATGAAAACCTGTTTGTTTTTTTCATCTCATTAAAAAAAGTTAATCTCACCAAAAAAAATAGATTTGAAAATCAGAATGTTACGACTAGCTGCATTCTATTATTCTGTTCATTTAAGAAAAAAAATCTTATAATTTTATTTTTATCCATCTAAGATAACCCCTTGAGGCCCGAGAATATGGAGACATTTTGCACACTCCCCTACATAAACTTGTCGGTGTTTGTTTATTTTCTAAGGATACAAACCACGGTAAATACGTTTACATAATGTTTGCTAAATATTTACAGGAATTGCCCTGTAATCAATCATTTTAATTTTTTTGACCCGTCATCGTGATAATCAGATATTGTCATCATATTTGTTCACGCTTCCTTAAGAATTACATCTTTTAACCGTAGTAAATACCGATAAACAAAATAAGACATCTGGTGGTAGATAGCGAAAGTTATGTATACCGTCTTCTCTGGTTATAAGGAAAATGTTTTCTTTTCATGTCGCTTTGTTCTAGAAATTTTATAGATATTTGTTTTCGTGTGGTTCTTGTGTAATTTTGATAAACATGCTAACTGTATGGTATATAAACGAAAAAAGAGAGAAACTGGAAAAAGAAAGAAAGAAAGAAAGAAAGAAAGAAAGAAAGAAAGAAAGAAAGAAAGAAAGAAAGAAAGGAGAAGGCAGAAAAAAGAAAGAAGAAGAAAAGAAAGAAACAGAAATCTAAAACTACATCTACTCTACAGGATAACATATGGAATATATGGTTAAAATACAAACAAATAAAGAAAAAAAGCAGCAGAAACAAAAACATTAATGCATTGTAAATGAACGGTAAGGGAAATAAAAATGAAAACGTGAAAAAAAATCAAACGTACTCTAGATTTTCCTATAGCTTTGGGTCCCGTTGTCCACGCCCCAAAAGCCTGCAGAGAAGGATCCGGGGTTTGGTATTGGGGACCCGAGGGATACGTCTCGCCAAAATCACCCTAAAATGTAGGCAAAGTTTCAAAAAGTTAAAATTTTGTTTCAGAATCTTTTCAAACACGAACAATTTCGACATGGAAAATAACAAGTAGGTCCAAATATAACGTGATTACAGGACGTGATTTTCAGTCCCTCTCACTGTTTTCTTCGTTTATTTGATAAAGAAGACCCCCATATCATAACCTACTTTTTCTTTGTTTGAAAACTATCAAATCAAAATTTTGTTTTCGATTTGAGTTCCCTACTTTGTGGTCCAAACATCTATATGCAAACATGTTTTTGTTTTGTGAAAACGAACAAACATGTTACAAGAAAGCAGATTTGAAATGTTTCAAAGTTGTGAGACTAACCAATCGCCTCTGGGGTTTTATGAGGGGACGGTTTATTCCATTCATCTTGTGGTACAGTCCACACGCGTTACATAAATAGTGCCCGGTCCCGTCCCGTCGCCATAACGGTGTAGATATTGCTCCGCAGTTGACGCATTCCCGCCCTTCCAAATCAGCAAAATAGTCCTGGTTATCTGGTTGGGATATGAGAAGAGAAAATATAATTGTATAAATTTTATTGTATACTTACATAAGATAATGTGGAATATTCTGGGGTGTACATCATTCCGGACAGCGCTTTCGTGGGATCTATATAGAGAAACAACAGATTGTCACAAAAGGTCAAGCGCATGCAAAATTAGAGAAAACAAAGTTTAAATCTAGAAGTTATATTTTTTCTAAAAAAAAAAGTCTGAAAATTTGTCACAAATAAAAGAAAACAATTTTCCTACTTTTTGTATCGGAGAACATCGTAAAGCTTAGAACATTCTGAGATGGGAGGGATATGGGGTTTACTAGTGTCACATGCAAAATACACCAAAGTATACATAACTGTTTAAGCATTATAAACATGTTATATACTTCCTTTACAGGTTTTGATTCATTTTTGGCCGATCAGATACATCGTATTGACCAATGGTATTTCAACCAATCTGGACTCAAATTCCTCTAATTTCCTGAATTTTGTATTAACATTTTTTGTTTGTATTTACTTTGAAAACATGCATCACAAACGAACACGTATGCACACAAAGCTTTAACGAAAACATGCCACAAAAGCAACAAAAAGAGACAAGACACCGCCTATCGATACAACAACAACACAGGATACTTATAACCGGAAATAGCATTGTGGTCATTAACAACAAAAACAATTCACACGAGAATAGTTCCGGAATTTGTCGAGCTGTCAAAAACACACAAGATACAATGTTTTTTGGACAAACCAAATCAAATTATCGTTCTTCGGTTACGGAGACTCTGATGTATTTAATAAGAAACCTCCTCTTCTTCTAAATAAGGAACTTCCAGGGTTTTCTATCTCAACCCCTGGAGTATTGCGCTAATTTGTTGTTTATCGTTGTTATTTGTTTGTTTGTTTTTGATTTTAGCTATTTTTCTTGTTTTAAAAAAGAGCTATTGTGAAGGAGAACAAATTATAACAACTTATTGCATAAACAAAACTGCTGACATCTTAATTTTCAAAATGTTATTTCAAAACTATAAAGAGCACGGCTGCTTGCAATATTGAGAATGGAAATTGAATTTAAAAAAAAAAAAAAAAGCAAATATCCCCGAAGTGTTGGACTAGGTAGGAATGGTGGTGTTGTAGTTTTTACCATTTTGTAAAATGTTGACTTTCATTGTGTTAAACCGGATCTTAAAACATATGTTTAATCTCCTCTGTACCATATGCATACACATAGTAACCCTCTGGTGACGACCGAATGTCAGATTGTTAAAGGTGTTGATATGACATGTTTAACTTGTAAGTTGTATTTCAAATGGTGATAACCATTTATGTTTGTATTATTTATTTTTATCTGACGAGAAAAACAAATTAACATTGCCGATGCTGATTCCTCCATAAAACGGTTGACGAAGAACAAATATTCATTTTTATATATGAGGGAAGTTAGATAACAAACTGTGTCATTATATTTCATGTCTGTGTTCCTGTTCCTGTTCGAAGCCGAAAAATCACCACATAATTTCAACAAATTTAAAAATAAGAGCACTTAAAAAATAATGTGTTAAACTATCAATTAATCATTCTGTAATTACGACTTCTCCGGTAATGCATATACAAGGCTTATCTCCTTTATATCCCTGATCGTCGTTAGAAGATCAGCCTGCCCCCTACCGAAGTATACCATTACACTGCCACGCCTTTTTTCAAAGGGACGAAATCAGTTCCATTAAAATTGTGTGAATTACAATTTACCCTCCATAATAAGAAAAATTCCAGAAATTTACGACTATTTTCAAGGTTTTTTTCTTTTCCTTTTTATATTCTCTTATATATTAACAGAGACATGAAACATTACACAGTCGGTCTAATGATATAATTAATCCATTAAATACTTTCATAACCCTTGACTCGAGGCAAGGCGGAACCCAATTCATCAACCGGTTTTTCCAATTAGAATCTCCTTGTGGTCGGAGCGGCGCCGACGTCTCGTGAGACGATAATTTACGAGGTATCACGAGATTTGTTTTCACTCGATGTAAAACATCGGTTACTTACAATAAAATTAGGTTAACTCCTTCATTAGCGCGTGACAGGCGACGTAAATTACGTGCTTTAGCTGTATACTTCTATAATATGCAGATGGTCTCTTTGGCTTGATTCCGGTCTTATAGCAGCAAATTAAACAAATGACGTAATAACAGGAATATCAAGCATGCGATTCAACCAGCCCCTTAACGGGAAGGAAGGAATTGTAAAAGACAAATTGATACTTTTCATATTTCCAAAACAGCTTTTGAATATATACTGCACGAATCCAAGGTTTCACTAGGGTTTTATATTTTGGATTGAGCATTATTTTGTTGTATTAATACACAGATATTTATTATTTCCTATTTGGGATATTTTTATTGTCGTTGTCCGGTACGGATAGTCTTTAAGGTTTTACGAGTACCAACAATGTGTTTATTGAGTGCAATATTTGTGACCAGTTTATATAAACATATTCAATACTGATCAGTATTAAGAAGTGTCTAAATGGGGATAATTTTTAAAAACGGGACGTACATTACGGTAAAATATAAGTCACTACATCTATAATAAAATTGTGCGTGCGTGTTTTCGAGTTTTTGTCCCTGTTAGACAAAGGTTTCTTTGTTGCGACAAAAAAAATATTCATTTGTATAACCCTTCTTATCTTGAGCACTTTCCGCAAGATCCGGAACATTATAATAAATATCCGGGATAGAGACTTTACCTGTAATGAGCTGATAGGCGATTTGAATTCCCTTTATAATAACAGTTTTGCTATCTTTATTGCCTCACTTAAGATTTTACGGAATGATCAAGTCGTGCTTAAAAAAATATTTCAACTTTGAAAATAATTTAATTAAACCTCTACAAATCTTAAATACGTTACACATGTCTTTGTTATAAAATAATATGAGCTTCAAATTGATTTTTTTCCGAAACTGGAAATCTTCGTTTTCCCTTAAGTCACCGAGTGTAAAAGATCTCTGGTTTATGACTTAAAACCAAACCTCTTAGTTCAACGATCAGATTAAATTTTGAAATTTTCCAACCTTTCTCTAATCACCAAGTACCATCTTAGGTTAAAACATCTAAACACTGCGGAATTCTATCTACCTAGCATGTGGCGATGGCGTGCGATAAAAGATACTACATCTTGCACAATTGGACTGAAATTTATATTTTTGTAGGAAAAATAGTTTTCTGAAATATTTAGATTCTTGGTATGGGGGCTGGAGTTTTGAGTGTCATCTTTCTGACTGTGGGTAAAGATAGGCGGGAACCTCGTGGTGAGTCTAGAGGGCGCTGCTGTGATTATCGATGGTTATCTAACCTCCGGTAACATTCGCGGTACACGTAGAGTAGATCCAGAAAGAGTAATCCTTAGAAAAAATCTCTAGATTATCTGTAGAAGAAAAAATCTCTAGTAAATGGGCTTGATCCGTTCATTCAATTTTTCAAGTTTATGTTTAAAAAAAATGTTTAGACCCGTCATTTTCAGTTCTATTATTTTTGAAAATGATTGATGGGTTCAAATGGGACGGAGTGTTCATAAAGACACAGACGAGTTTATTCTGAGGATACCAAAAAACCCAGCAATATTGCTTTAAGACAAAGTAAGTGACCGCGTGAAATATCTTTTCATGAGAAACGTTATATTTGTGTATAACTTTGAGTGCTAAACGAATTATTATGTCATGAGGAGCACTTTTGGGTGGCCGAGGTGATGGATTGTGGCGGAGAGGAGGATGTGGAGTGTGGTTTAAATCAAACGTAAATAGTTTGATACTCGGATTAACATTTTTGTCGAATTGTTTTATAAAACAAAGATACACAGATTCATTCTGACAATATACATGAAATATTTACAGGGTTCAGGATCTTTTGACAGTCAGCTCGCAATATATATAACTATTATTTATTAGTTTACAGTTCGTTTGTTATTCTTTAAAAGAATATGCTGAACTGTATACGCTGTCAGTTGTTTATATTGCGATCTCGGTTATGACGAGTACTTGTAGACCTATATTTCGAGGAAGATGCTCCATTGCACTGCGTTTTTTCGTCAAACGTGTTTAACTCGACGTCAGCATACACATCACGAACAATTCCGCTTATCTCGACTCTCTGTGGTTCAGACAAGTTTGATGTAACTTGATATCACTGAATAATTTTTTTCTAAAACAGATCATGCGGCGTGCCGTGAAGGTTTTGCAGTTGTTATGGTGATTGTTTTTGTCAAGAGCTACAAATATGGATACGTCCTTTACCTTCGATTATGGCAAGGTGTGTCAATAAAACAGCAAAGTATGGATTGGAAATCGACCACGAAACCTTTATCAGGACAATATAGGAACAGAGTTCCTGGTCAAAGCTTGCGTAACACAATATGCATTGTGTTCAAAATCTGTTTTCAGTAATGTGTTGGTTACAATTGAAATTAGACGACAATAGAGTAACTCAGATTTGTATTGCAAATAGGTCCTAAGGTATACGTATGCCGGGACTGACTAAACCAACATACAACATCAATACAAATCAGTTCTAACAGTCAAATGATATATAAAATTGCGCAAAGAGAGTGACGACATTGAAAACATTGTCAATAGACCCTTTAGTTATTGTAATTAAATGTTGGTTAAAAATACTGTACTGCGCATGTCAACGTCAATAGCACGACAATAAACCTAACAACTTTAAATAGATCAATCATAATGACAACACATTTTGACGCTTGCCTACAAGCGTTTCAGGTCCTCTGCATAGTAATTAAATGTAATTAAAATACAATCTCAAATGTTAAATACAAATACAGACCAGAAAAAACAGCATTAAAGGGGACCAAACTTTGAAATGAACAAATCGACGATCGATAGAAGAGTAAATAAACAAAGGATGCTGTGGTTTATCTTTGTTATGCTAGTCACGATGTTAAAGTACAAATGCATTCTACAAATATCAATAAACAATGAC